TAGGTGCTGGGCTTCGCCCCGGTGTCCCACCACTCTCCCGGCCTCAGGGGTCCAGGGCTGCCCGTGGCCACCTGGGTGCGGGGACGGTGGCATGTCCCCTCCCCAGACACCCCCTGAGCTGGGAGATGCTGGGGACCTCGCCCTGTGCCAGCGCGGTGGTGGGGACACGTGGGTGACGGATGGCTCTGGTGGGACCGGCGCGGGAGCGCCTTCACACGTGGCTGCCAAGGACGAGGGAAGGCAATGGCCTGGATCCGTCCCTGTGCCATACCACGTGCCCCGGGCCAGGTCCCGAGACTGGCGTGGATGTGGGGTGCCAGCTGTCCCCACCCTGGGGGACACCATGGGGTTGTGGGTGGGTCCAGGCCAGCCTGGAGGGAGCAGACACCCATGGGTGCACCCCGGCAGGGCTTGAGGCCGGCGCTGGCTCTGCGCCGGGATGAGCTGCCCATGGGGGGACAGGCGGGTGCAGCCACCACGGCAGCACCGGGAGGGACCAGCCTCCTCAGAGGCGCCCCGGAGCCAGCTGTGCTCTGGCACCACCGGGGCGGTGGCAGCTGTGCGGGTGCCCACCATGGCGGGTGTCACAGGCTTGTGCGCCATGTCTCAGCGGGGCCGGGGCTGGCACGGCTCCGCCACCTGCTCCCTCTGCCCGGTGCCACCGGGGATGGGCACTGTCCTGGTGCCCGTGTGCCAGCGGCATCCTTGTGCCGGGGCGGAGGTGGCGAGGCGGGAAGGTCCTAAGGGGCGAGACCACGAGGACGTAGCTCCGTGTCCCTGTGTCCTTCCCGTACCCGGAGGCTGCTTCCGTCCTCCAAACCTCCTCGGCCCATCCCTGGGCGCCAGCTCCGGGGGCCGTGGGAGGACAACCCGCAGCGGCTGGCCAGGCTTTCGCAACCCGCCGTGGGGACAGGGCTGGTTTGGGGGCTCCCGTGGTGGCCCCGTCGCCTCCCCGCAGTCCCACGCACCGGCTTTGGCACCAGCCAGGGCCCGTGGGTCAGCAGCCAGAGCTGTGTGCCGGGCCTGGTGTTATTTGCAATTAAGCGGTTCGTTTTTAGCAGCTAGCTCTGCTGAATATTCAGCGGCGGTCGTGCAGCCTGTTGAATATGCATGAGCTGGGGTTGCCAGGCTGGGGGCTGCGCCGCCTTGGCTGGGTCTTTCCTGCAGCCGTTTCCTGGGAGGTGCTTTTGTGGGGTGCCGGGGTGATGCTGGGGCTGAACCGGGGCCAATTCCAGGCAGGAATTATGTCCCCAGCCTGCCCGGAGTGTGGCCCTGCCACCACCCTGCTCGTGTCCCCAAGCTGCGGGCGATGGGGCTGGTGTGAGACCCCAAACCAGCCTCCTCTTCCGGGTGCTACCCATCCGGGTGCTACCCATCGGGGGTGACAGGGCAGGGATGGGATGCGGAGACCCGGTCGGGGATGGCTGGGGCCCGGGGAACTCCGGGCGGGCCTTGGTGTTCACAGCCGCATCCGGATCTCCCCCTTTCCCCCCCCCGAAACGGCTGCTCTGCTCCCACCGCCCCAGTGGGTTTGGGGGTGGGAGCGTGGCCCCGCCGAGGCCTGGCTGCATCCGCACCTCAGTTCCCCAGCACTGTGCTCAGCCCCACCTAAACGAGCCGGAGTTAATGAGCTATTTGCAGGCAGATTCCTGGTCTGGGCTGGAAAGGAACGCTGCAATGGAGTAATGAAGAGGTGGGGAGGAGGTTTGGGGGTCACAAAGGGGGGTCTCTCCCATCCTCCCACTCCGGCCTGGCTGTGCAAAAGCCCCACGGGTGAAGCTGCCTGCCTGGTGTGCGCCGGTGTGCCGGTGACACGCTCACCCCGTGGGCATCCCCGTGGGAGCACGTGGCATGCAGGGCTCACGACAGGTGGGAGACGGGGGGAGATTTGGAAGCCCTGCCCCATGGCTGTGGGGTCAACCCCCCCCCCCCCGCCAAAATGGGTCCTTCATGTGTCAGCTGCATCGCTGGGGACCAGAGCACGGGGACACCCATGTCTCGGGTGGCGGCTGCACCCGGCATGGATCCCCCGTGGGGCCAGATCCCCACTTTGGGGATTCCTGGGCACTTGAGGGGGGGGTCTCAGAGGTGAGCACCCACCCTTCAGTCCCTGCTGGGGTCTGCTGGCCGTCCCCACCTACCAGGGCCTTGTCGCTGGGGACACGGGGACAGTTGTCCCTGTGGGTGCTGCCCTGTCCCCTCCACGGCGGTGGCCGCGCCGTTTTTTTTTAGAGACCAGGAGCGCAACAAAGCCCGCGGCGTGGGGGGCACCGTGGGGAGGGGGTGGCTGGGTGTGGGCTTTCCCCGTGGTTGCCCGGGTGGGAGCCTGTGCTGTGCGTGTCTGTCCCCACGCGGTGGCACTGTGTGGCCGTGGCACGGGAGCTGGAGGCAAAAACAGGGCGAGGATGTTCAAAGCCTCGGGGGTCTCGCTGCACTCAGTGGGTCGGGTCTCGTGGGGGGCTCAGGGTGGGCACCCACCGGCAGAGCTGCTGAGAGGGTTTGGGGTGTCCGGGGGGACCCCAGGGAGCTCGCT